AATAACTATACTTTTACATTAATAAAATGAAAGTCAAAAGTACTTTGATAATTTTAAATAGGTATACAGAGTACACATGTGTATCAAGAATAAATCCATAAAAATTGCACGGTTCAACTTTTTTCTACCTTTAACAATTTTCATTAAACACTCTTTTAATCATATTTTAAAATATTCTTTTTAAAGCAATAAAAACACAAAGTACAGTTCCTAACCAAAAGAAATCTAAACTCAAAGTGATTTTAACACAGCTTTTGTATTATAACACTTATGTATTATTATATATTCATCTTATCTAAGCAAAAAGTGGTAGAAGCTTGTTGAGTTATTGAATTGAATTGTTGCATAAGAACTAGACTTGTTAAATCGACTTGTTGCAGAAGAAGCAGGTTTGTTAAATTGTTTTGTACATTCTTTATGTCCAATCCTTTGCTAATATTGAGACAAACTTGATTTAAAGGCACTATGAATAGTCTCTCCAGTCATACAATCCCAGAAAACAACAATCAAGTTTAAGTATAAAGTTTACTCTTATATCTAAAAGTCAATATAAAAAGATAAATAAATAAAGTAGCATAGATAAAGTATAATAAAAACTAGATTGAATCGAAAAAAATTTTAATATCTTTTCTTTATTATAATTTTTTTTTATCCATTTATTTAACCCAATATTGAAAATTGCAATTTTTTTTGGCTCTTACTCTGTAGTCTTTTACTGTGCAATTTATTTAACCCTTTGTGGTCTAAAGTGTGACAATGATTTATTTTTTTAATTGTTTTTTTTTCTCTTTAGTTTGTGACATTAAAAAAAAAAAAGATTATAATAGTTTATTTTGACTGTCTTAAAAAATACTATGGGACAAATAAGTCCCGACTGGCATTATCTAAATCAACAAAAAGTGTATATTATTCACAATGTGCAGATAAAATTGTTCACTCATGAAACTCTTTAAAGCAGTTTCTTTTATCGTTTATACATAAGTAAAATTCTACAAGTGCTTTACTTGAAAAATGGCCTGGCTTCAATCTTCTTTTTTGAACAAATTTTGCACCGCCCTCATTTTCTATCATGTTGTGGCAAGGGTGCAGCTCATTAAACACATGGCATCATGTGTTTAATGAGCTGCACCCTTTGAAAAGAATCATGCTTTCATCAATACTAATGGACGTAACACACTGTATAATTCAGTAAACTTTTTATTCAAGCTGTCAATTAGTGGTCACATTTTATAAAGTTTATCAGTATTGGTAGCTGGAACTGCGTTATTGTCATTAAAATGGATATTAGATAGTATCTGTAAAAACCTATTTCTAGATAATGCATCTGAAATAAATGGTATAGACAAGTCTTGTTCACCATTCCAATAATGTTTCCATGATGGTAATTTGTGATACCCCATCACCATGTTAATCCCCATAAATGCAAATAATTCAGCTTTTAACAACGTAGAAACTCTTTTTTGTGTCTGATTAATGTACAAATTACTTTGGAACAAAATGAAATCTATTATTTCATTATCAAAATATTTTAAAAAGTAATCAACTGGTGTTTGGCAGTCAACAAAATGCACTTTGATAGGTCCTAAAATGGTAATGTAAAATAAATTGAAATTATGTGCTTTGTTATTACAAAGAATAATAAGAAACAAATTATAAATAATAAGAAACAAATTATAAATGTTATTTGACTAGTTAATGTATAAGTACATTCACATCCAGAAAAAACTCATCGAGAATATGTATATATTCTTGATGGGCTTTTTCTGGATGAAAACTAAGCAAAACAAAAAAGCATTTTGAATTAATAAATAAAAAGACACCTTCAGGTTGATTGAACCTTGAAACAAGTTCATTCTTTTCAATCTTGCTCCACTTTCTATCTTGCTCTACAATATAGTGAAAAATCATTATCAGTATCACAGATATTGCCATCATATGAAAAATTAGATGACTCATATTCAGAAACATCTACTTCAACTTGCTTGATAGATAAGTTATCTTTTCACTCTTGTTCAGCTTGCAGTTTATCTACTTCAAAATTCTCATCATCATCTGAATAGTCAGATAAATCACTGCTGTCTCCTAGGGGAATATCTTTTAAGATTATTTTTGCAGCTTTGACAGAAGTATAAAACTTTTTATGTTTCATTATCTCTTCAAGTAAATAAAATCAAATTAATAATTCAAAATTAAATAAAATACATTCAAAACAGAGATCCATAAAACCTGAAGGGACATATATGTCCCACAACAAAATAGTGAAAATAAACAGCCTAGAACAAACTTTCACCTATAAAATTTAATTTACATTGATCATAGTACTGTTAAAGATCACAACAAAAAAGTTTGGAAAGTCGCTAATAATTTGATAAGGAATAATAAAGTTTTTTTCTCATACTAAAATCAAAACATGCGCATCATCAGTTATAAAAACTAGTATTTATTCCATAAAAGTACTATAAATGCTGCTTTGAGATATAGCCAAACAATTATAGAAATGACATTATCAAAATATTTGAGTTTCTTAACTACATGTGAATGGCCATAGAGCCATAAGTAAACTGGGACATTTATGTCGGAACACAAAGGGTTAATTGTATTAACCCTTTGTGGGTTTGTGACTTTGTATTCAATTTTTTGAAAAAATCAAATCTTTGTGATTTTGTATTCAATTGTTTGAAAAAATTGTTTTTTTTTTTAATATAGTATTGATATAAGCATGTCCTATTAAAGTTATGGATAAGCTCAAGCATATTTTTGAATCTCCTAAAACTGAACAGAAATCAGTGCTGATGTAGCCCTTCACATATATATCTGGTAAAAAAATCCTGACAAACTTTGTTTGGCAATTTATTTAGAGGCTGAGAATAAGTAAGGTGTTTGTATCTGATAACAAGATAATTCAAAACATTTTGTAGAGCTTACCCAGTAAATAAAAAAAAAACGTGTTTACATTTGTTATGTTATCCAACTCAGTGATGATGAGTCTAAATGGCAGTTTGTTTGCATGCAGAAGATGTTCCATAGTAAATGATATTTGATGATTACTTTAGTAAAATAATTCCACCATCTGCTCAAACATTTGCTTAGGTGCAAATAGTAAGATCAACAATTTAAGCAGTTGCTCTATCTGAAATCAAATTCCAGACCTTTGCTAATGCTATCTGCCAAAAGATAATGCTATCTTTTCCTTGGTTTATCAAAACAATGTTTACCTCACCAGCAGTACTTGAGGTAAGTTTGCTTGGTATGATTTGGAAGTCGGAGTTGGAATTATGTTCAAGACTTTTAAAACTGCTTTTTTTTCTCCATTTTTTTATTCTCATCCTCACCAGTTTTTATACTCTCAGAAGGAACAACTTTAAACTGTGATTCTTATTGTTGTCATTTAAGTGCATCTCTAACGTCTTTGACTTTCTTAGTTGATTCTTTTTAGTGTTGTTTTATATTATGGTGTTATTATCTACTTATTTGCATCTATCAACTTAATTGCTGATCTACGAAAAAAAAAAAAATTTTATCTCTAGCAAGTTTTCATTATCAACAACTTCAAACAATCCTGAAATTTTATTGAGAAACTTATCTTTTTTAAATTGTTAAGAAGTTCAAGAGATCATTGTAATTTGAACCGTTTGTGTTCTTATAACTTTTAGCAGTTGGTATATAAATTAACTTTGATATTATTCATAGACTTTAGGAACACAGGACTTAATTGTGTCTTTTCATATTGTTAATAAGGATACACATTTATAAACACTTTTATCTTGTGACACAACAATTACTGCAATGATAGAATATCTGGTTCTTCGCAGAGGTTTTTTTTTTCCATATTATTATCTTGTACAAGGATCTTGTATCTGTATGGATCTTATATCAAAATATTGTATCTTGTGCAAGCTTTTAGCAATGCTTAATTCCATTTGAATATAATACTGATAAGCTTGCCTATTGACCATATGCTAACTGAAAAAATGCTAATTAATCTGTAGCCATACAGGTAGATATTTTTGCCAGAGCATTCCATATTCTGTTTAAAAAATACTTAGTTGTAAGAAAGACTCACCATAACTTAAGAAGCTATTAATTATAGGAGAATTTACAACATAAAATTATAGGTTTTTAAATTTATGACAGCAAAATATGAAATAAATGAGTAAATAGGCTAAAACTTGACTTTTAATAACTTCATCAATCATCAGTTTTTCAGTTTTGTTTGTTTTAGTTCACAATCAGCAGCAGAATGTACTTTTGGCATAATTAGTGTCTTCCAAAATTTAAAAAGTTAAATTTTTAAAGATGCTGAAACTTAATGTAAAACTATTTTCTAATCATGCCTTTAAATGTAGTTATACTAAATATTATCAGTAAAACATCAAATAAACAATAAAATCTATGCTTTTTTTTTCAATGTTTTATGACAATATTGAATTATTAACTTTAGTTTATGTTTTTGGTGCTATTTTTTTTATAAGCCAAGACATTAAATTTCAATTTAATAAATGAGAGTAAAGACATCAACTTATTAATAATGTACATAATATGATAATAATATACATATATATATATATATATATATATATATATATATATATATATATATATATATATATATATATATATATATTTTTTTTTTTTTTTTTTATTGAGGATGGTTTTTATTTTAGAAATTGAAAGTATATCACCAAGAAATGGGAGTGTAGAAGGAGGAACAATTATTACAATCACAGGAAAATATTTTGGAAACAATCGAAATAATGTAAAAGTTAAAGTTCATGGAGTTGATTGTGCAGTTATTTTGGTCAAAGAAACTCAAATAAAGTGTATAACAGGACCACTCAATGACACTTACCAAACTGGTGATGTTTTTCCAGGTAAGTTGATGATATTATTTTAATTTATTTACAATTTTTAACATTTAATAATATATATATATATATATATATATATATATATATATATATATATATATATATGTATATATATATAAATATATATATATATATATATATATATATATATATATATATATATATATATATATATATATATATATATATATATATATATATATATATATATATATATATATATATATATATATCTATGTATGTATGTATGTATGTATGTATGTATGTATGTATGTATGTATGTATGTATGTATGTATGTATGTATGTATGTATGTATGTATGTATGTATGTATGTATGTATGTATGTATGTATGTATGTATGTATGTATGTATGTATGTATGTATGTATGTATGTATGTATGTATGTATGTATGTATGTATGTATGTATGTATGTATGTATGTATGTATGTATGTATGTATGTATGTATGTATGTATGTATGTATGTATGTATGTATGTATGTATGTATGTATGTATGTATGTATGTATGTATGTATGTATGTATGTATGTATGTATGTATGTATGTATGTATGTATGTATGTATGTATGTATGTATGTATGTATGTATGTATGTATGTATGTATGTATGTATGTATGTATGTATGTATGTATGTATGTATGTATGTATGTATGTATGTATGTATGTATGTATGTATGTATGTATGTATGTATGTATGTATGTATGTATGTATGTATGTATGTATGTATGTATGTATGTATGTATGTATGTATGTATGTATGTATGTATGTATGTATGTATGTATGTATGTATGTATGTATGTATGTATGTATGTATGTATGTATGTATGTATGTATGTATGTATGTATGTATGTATGTATGTATGTATGTATGTATGTATGTATGTATGTATGTATGTATGTATGTATGTATGTATGTATGTATGTATGTATGTATGTATGTATGTATGTATGTATGTATGTATGTATGTATATATATATATATATATATATATATATATATATATATATAGTGAAAACTAAATAATTGTTAAGATAATTTTCAATTAAAAAGCTCAACCCTCGGAATTAGGGTCAGCATTTGGCAATGTCAACCTAACTGCTGACCTGAAAGTGTTTGAGGTTGGCAAAAAATTGCCGCCCTCGTGTCTATGTTTTATGGTCAGACCTTTGTATCAAATAATTTTTGCCAACCTGATGTCGACCTCAAAAAGATTGAAAGATTTAGGTTAGCAAATTACTGCTGACCTCATTTTTCCTATTTCCGAGGGTTGAAATAGCTAAAGGTTTTATACAATAACGATCATCAGATGTAACATAAAAAAAAGAGTAATGACAAAAACTCCATACAAAAAATACTACAGAATGTCCACTTTGATGAAATTAAAGTTTTTATTTTAAAATTTATTTTCATGGCAGCACTTTGATGCAAGCTTTAATGCAACACTTAATCTCTCATTTTAAATCTAATAACTTACTTTTTGATCATCAATATGGATTTCAATCTTCTCATTCTATGGCTGGTTTGCTAACAGTAATAACTGGTAGGTTTTACCGTGCATTAGATGAAGGTGGAGAGGTTAAGGTCATCACTCTTGACATTTTTAAAGCTTTTGATAAAGTTTGGCATGCTGATCTTCTCCATAAGCTTTCAACTTACGGTGTATCTGGAAACATCTTTAAGATTATTGAATTCTTCTTTTCCAACCCTAGTATAAAAACTTGTCCTCAATAGACAGTACTTATTTTCATATTCTGTACTTCAAGGGTTCCTCAAGGTTCAATCCTTGGCCCTCTACTCTCTTTAATTTACATTAACGATCTTCCAGCTATTCTCACATCTAAAGTGGGATTGTTCGCTGATGATACTACCATTTATTCTTGTCACAATAAGAAGCCAACATTCCCCAATTGCTTAGAGGGGGCATTTGAGCTTGAAAAGGATTTCATTTCTGCTACAGCACGGGGCTCACAGTGGTTAGTAAACTTTAATTCAGATAAAACTCATTTTTTTTCAGTCAATTGTTATCACAATAATTTAGATCTTCCTTTATTTATGAACTGTAATGTACTTGATTAATCATCTACGGTTCATCTTCTAGGAATAACTCTTCTGATTTTTCTTGGAAATCATATATCAAATCCGTTGCAAAATTAGCATCTGCTAAGGTTGCATCTTTTTATTGAGCTCAACACTTTCTTATTCCGGATTCTATTCTCTATCTCTATAAATCTCAAATCCGGCCTTGTATGGAATACTGTTGCCATATCTGTTGCGGATTTTTTAATGATGCTTTTTCTTTTTTTAGACAAGGTGCAAAAATGCATTGTAAACATAGTTGGACCTGCTCTTGCAGCCAATATTCAACCATTATCACATCGTCGAAATGTTGCTTCTCTTTCTCTTTTCTACAAATACTATAATGGGCACTACTCTAAAGAGGTAGCGTCTCTTTTATCATATACTAAAATTCATTGTTGTGTTACTCGTCATTCAATTAAGATGGCTTTTATCATATTATGATAAATGCTGATGATGGAAGTATATTAGAGATCAGTGACTCTCCTTCTAATATATCATCTACAAAAATGGCAAGTTTTGTTATTACAAAAAAGCCTTTTATTGTTTTATGTATTTGAAATATATTTTGTAAAACTTGCGCGGCCAAGAATGAGATTAAGAGGTTAGAAATTGAAATTTTTCTAAAATGATTTTTACAATAACTGTATTTACATACAGTTATTGTTGTGTTACTCGTCATTCAATTAAGTCTCATCTTTTTTCTGTGACTGTTCCTAAGTGCTCCAAAAACTCTTAATCATCTAGTTTTTATCATCAAACATCAACTCTTTGGAATTTGCTTCCTGCATTTTGCTTTCCTGATTCATATAATTTGCAATGTTTTAAGTCGTCTGTCAATTGTTATCTTGTTCTACAATTTTTATCTTTTCTCTTCCAGTAACTTCTAATTCTAATAGTGGTTGCTTGCAGTCTTGTTGGAAGCAAAGATGTTTAAAAAAAAATTAAATGTAAAAATACCCTTCTTCTTCTTGGTAAGTATTTACGTTGCAAATATAAATGTTTTTTGTAAGGTATTTGGAATGAAATCAATCTTATCTTTGAATCCACAAGAATTAAGAGCGTTTTTATTGCTTCTTGGTTGAAGATATATTATTTATGCGATTAGAGATCATTATAGTATCAACTTAATGATGCTTAGTTGATGATTGGAAATAATGTTAATACATAAAGGATTATCACCTGGGGTTCTATAAGGTTTAAAAGAGTTCTCAGGTGATATTAAGAAAATTTACAGTTTCTAAGTTTAGTCAAGTAATGTTTAGATTTAAATTGTTTTTTAACTAATTTGCATAGTTTGGCTCTGCCAAAACTACCCATGATGACATTGAAATTAGGATCCACTGACTTTTTAATCCACATATTTCTTGAAAAATAAAGATTTCCTAATGTGGTACAGAATTTTGATTGATTTATCAGGAATTTTGGTGAACTGCTTTGCATGCCTAATAGAATCTTGAAGAAGTTGTTTTAAAATTTAAGGGTATAACTTTTGAATATTGTACTGAATGAAAGCACATTTATTTTATTCAGGTATAAATAATAATAAACTATTTTATGACATTATTTGTGCTATACCATTGGTGTACATGGGTAGCATTCCTAACTTCAGTATTGGTATCATCTAATAAAATTTTACTTACTTTTCCAAGCTCAGGTTTAGCTGGAATTATTAATCAGCACTAAGTATTGCCAGGGAAATTATCCTTATGATCTTTTGAGGTAATGAATGCTGTATTCATGGCTAGATGCTCTAGCCTATCATTTATGCCAAAGTCTTTTGCTATGATTTTAGCATCTGTGTTAATGCTGTGTGATATCAGATTTTTTTTTAGGTCTTAGTAATATTTTAGTATAAAGTTTATGATACATCTATAAAGGTTTATCTAGCTCATACAGGTTTCTTGATTTATCAGCAAAGACAAAAACATCACTTAAAGATTTTATTTTTGCTATTTTAGTTTGCAATTGTTTTAAAAATTGTTTTGAATTGTAGAAAATGAAACAGAATTATTTCTTATTTAGAAAATGAAATAGAATTTTTTCGTTTTTAACTTTTTTTTTTTTTTTGTTGCTACCTCTGAAGATTGCTATTGCATGAAACTTTTCGTTATAAAATTAAATAATATCTCAATAAGTTTAGTTTTCACTATATTATTTGAACTACCAATTATGTTACACACTGTATTGAGCACTCTTACAGGAAATATTAACATAATTCTAATAATCAACTTTTAGTTATGTAATTAAAAAATGTCTGTATATATGTACACACACTTCAATTGGTTGAAAGCCCGAGAGTCTCTATTGACTGATTTAAATAAATTTAAATAGGTAGAACATGCAAAGACCACTACTACAAATGAGGTGTTTATTTTGGGCAGGAAATTAAACTTTTTGTTTATATTTTTGTTATCAAACTTCACTACTTAAAATAGTTGTTTATTTTAATTCATTTTTTTAAAAAAATTAGAGGGAGTAGGGCATCATGATACACTTTTGGTTTTTGCTTTTGTAAAAATATTTTTAAAAGACCTTTTTTTTTAGGCGATTGGTTTAATTTGTAGAATAAGTTTTTACCTACAAAATTAAATTTTTTTAGTTATAAAAATATAATAGGTTAATTTTGTGAGACTGTTTAAATTAAAATTAAAAATTTGTATCAAAGCACCACACCAATGGGGTACCTCAATACAAACTTTTAGCATCATTAAAAAAGTAAATAAAAAGTTGAAAGACAAACAAATTAATTGTTATAATCCAAATAATGTATCCTATGATCCAAATCACATTTCAGAAATCCAGACATATCGTTTTATCCTTTATCTAAATGGTCCAATCACATATCAGAAATTCTATAATAAGGATTATAGTTTACAAAATAATGTTACCCATAGACATAATCAATAACATACCCTAAAAGTTAGCAACTTTGACAACTAATAAAATATTATTTCATCAAAAAAACACAAAATTTGCCTCTCTCAGGCCTAATGATATCAATGATTTAATTTTTTTTATCAAAACCCAGCACTAGTAGTTACTGTTTTACAATATGAAATTGATTGTCTCAACTTTTAAGATGTCTTCACAATTACAATGTTTTATGGTACTCCATGTTTTATGGTGCCTTACTCTCCCCTACTCTTACTATTTTAAATGTGAAGAGGTCATATTGAAAAATTTGTATTTACAACATGATGGTCATGTTTGTGTTGATTTTAAAATAAATGTATTTATATTTAGGTGGTCGTGGCCATGATATAGAGATATGGCCTAAAGCAAATAATTACATAATGGATGTTAAAAACAAGTTTAACGATTCATTTCCAGTTCCTGTTGTTAGAAATACATCATACGCAGAACTACAGATTTATAGCAGAAAGCAGTTTTTACCATCACGATATTCTGCTATTAGTGCAAGAGTTACTGGATTTTTGCGACCTCCACAAGATGGCTTTTATCATATTATGATAAATGCTGATGATGGAAGTATGTTAGAGATCAGCGACTCTCCTTCAAATATGTCATCTACAAAAATGGCAAGTTTTGTTATTACAAAAAAGCCTTTTATTGTTTTATGTATTTGAAATATATTTTGTAAAACTTGCGCAGCCAAGAATGAGATTAAGAGGTTAGAAATTGAAATTTTTCTAAAATGATTTTTACAATAACTGTATTTACATAATATACACATACACAATATATGCATGTCCTATAAACTGTAGTTTTAAAGAGCGCATTAATAAACCAGACCAGAAAAAGTTTAAAAACTTTGATAATTTTTTTTCTTCTTAAAAATAGACTGCCTGCCTAAACCAAACCCTCAGTTGATGAAGCAGCACTCCCTTGCGAGTCAGGCTATTTGTCAGTTGATGTAGCAGCATTCTGTTGCGAGTCAGACTAAAAGATAATCGATGTAGCAATACTCTGTTGCGAGTCAGGCTATAAGATAGTTAATGGAGCAACACTCCCTTGTAGCAGCAGGCTATAAGATAGTCGATGTAGCAACACTCTGCGCATGTTTTAAAAATATATTTTAACAAAACAAATATTACATAACAAAAACACCATTAATTACAAAAAACTTTCTAGTCATTATTATTGTGGTTTTTTTAAAAAACAATAAAATTTAATGTACTTCCGCATTAATTTAATTGCTTTGACATTTCGACAACAAAAAAATACAGCTTAAGAGATTAGGTAGCAAAATTGTAGTCGAAAAAGACTTTTTTACCATAAAAGTCTCTTTGGACTACACCATAAGGATATATATGTATATATATATATATATATATATATATATATATATATATATATATATATATATATATATATATATATATATATATATATATATATATATATATATATATATATATATATATATATATATGTATATATATATGTATATATATATATAATTTTTACAATGACTGTGATTTTATAATATACACATACATAATATATGTATACACATGTATCATGTAACCTAGTACAACCTGCTTCATGTCCTGCTGCCTTGTAGGATATGCTTTATTAGGCAAAGACTAGGATAAGTCAACTTTGACTTAACACACCTCCTGCCTTCAAGCTCTTGGTTAAGTAAAGGCTAGAGATATTGTTTAGATAAAAATATTTATCTTAGGCAGCCATTAAATGCATTTGACTACTGTTTTGTAGAAGGCCACCTAGGTAAAGACTTAAGGATTAAACTGATTCTATCTCTTGACCAGTCCTGCACACCTTCTTCATCTATTAGGCAGGCGCAGATATATTTATAAATCATTGTTTCCAGTTTAGGATCTTGAATGCTAGATCTGTTTGACTCAATGCATGGGTTGTGCTTGTGTCTCTGTTTTTATTACTAGGCAACTCATTCTTTTATCTCCTAATGAGGGTACAGCTCTCAAACCGAGTTTTATGGTTTTGAGGCCAGCTAGTAGTCAGGTTTCCCAAACTCAGTGGTAGCTCTCAAAGAGGCTGATTCCATCAACAGCTGTTATGTATCATAGTATTAACAGTGCTATATTGCGCATAGATTGTGTTTCTGTCGAGGCCACATTTGGAGCTATTTGTTATGGTCTATGGTTTATTAATAGTAATGAGGCAATTGCTTGGACTATTAAATAGTGTACTTAGTACTATCTATGCTTTGAGTCAAGTTCTTTAACAAATTTAAAAATGAATAAAGTACCAAAAACCATAAAACACAAAAAACTATCATTATCATCAATTTTTCTAAATCAATTATTCACTAATATTTGTGTTCTTTGAAGTAACTTTTTTTCTGTTGAGTCTTATCTCTTTCAAAGATCGCCAAACTTACTTGCTCTTTGTGAGACTAATTTGAGTTCGATTGTGTTGTGATCTTAGTGTTGATGGTTATTTTCTTTTAGCTTGTAAAGACTCCAATAATCACATGCTTGGTCTTGGAATTTACATTCATAAGAATTTACCATTAGTCTGGAAACTTGGTTCAAATCCAGAGACTTTATTGTTTTATTGCACCACTTCAATTTATTGCCTTTCTCTTTATTCTATATTGTTCTCCATCACCATAAGATTGCTCTCTATTTGATGTTAGCTAGTGTCAGTGACTCTCTAGTGTCAGAGAAAGTCGTGAAAGGCTTTCTTAATCTCTAAAACAAATAGTCAACTTTCCAACTCACTTTCGAGACAATCCAAATCATTTACCTTTTGTTCTTGTGTCTTGTTTCCAATCTTAGTCAGTGCTCAGTTTCTCAGCATTCACACTTAGGTGTTTCTGATTATGGTTTAATCTCTTTAAAACTATTATCTCATTCTTCCTCATCATCAGAATGCCTCTATCATTGTACCTTTTACAACCACCTTAAAGCTGACTGGGACTCTTTCTGTGATATTTTTTGTGATAGCCCTTGGGTAGAAGTCTTTTATTTTTCTGCTGACAAATATTCTTCTTACATAACTTCTTGGATTCAAGGAAATTGAATCTGGCATGGAATCTTCTAATTCCTCTTAACAAGTCAAGCCCCACTCTTCTCTATGATTTTCCTCTCATTGTGTTGCTAAAATATCCAATTGAAACCATTACTTTTATATCTATCAGCAAAACAATTCTCTAGAAAACAAGTGTCTGTTTACTGTTGATAAAAATCATTATAAAAAAGTTTTCAGAGACTCCTGGAGAATCGTTAACAACTCTTTTCTTTTAAAGCTTGTGGTCTGAACAACATACCTATTATAGATTTGCAGAAGTGTTCTCTGGAGCTGTTGTCTATTCTTTCAAAACTATTAAATAAGTCCTTATCAGAGTTTTATTTTTCAGCCTGCTGAAATGAATGGATTTCGATCTTCTTGTTCTACTGCTGATTGTTAACGATAATAACTGATAGGTTTTATTGTGCATTAGAAGTGGAGAGTTTAAGGCTATACTTTTTTTAATTTATATTAACAATCTCAGAGAAATTTTCACAACTAAATTGGATAAGGTTTTAAAACTGAAGTTAATGAATTATAAAATTTTTATAATTTTTTTATAACTTTAACAATCCAATCAGTAGGAAATTTTTTTGTAATTTAACACAACTGTTTCAAATTCAACTCTGAACAACAGCCTTGTTTTAAAAAATGTGTGTTTTGGAGTTTAGAGTGGAGAGAGTTACAAGTTTAAAAAAAAATTAAATTAGATAAACTAAAGGTAACCAGGTTGTTTAACTTTATTTCAACTATACAATATAACATTGTTTTATGTAATATTGTATAGTTGACAAGGTTGATGTTATATTGTTTTTATATATTTATTTAATTACCTTTTTATAATATTATAATTTTAATTTTGAAGGTTAAAGTTTGTGGAAGCACTTATTGGACTCAGACAAGTTACTTTACATATGCAGAACAAAAATCCAGACAAATGTACATGAGACGAGATCGGGAATATTTTTTCAAAGCTTACTTAGCAGATGGTGGTGGGGAATATCAGTTGGAGGTTGGGTTACTAGGTTATAAAACCAATCTGAGTAATGCTGATCTAGATAAAGTTTTCAATGAAGTTCAAAATTTAACAATATATTCTGTTAACCAACCTGAAATACAGGTAAAAATTTATAATTATTAAAATAGGAATAAAATTAGTTATAATTGGACTTATGTAATATTTTTAATTTAAATCAGAAAATGAAAATTATTTTTGGATATGTTTTATACACATTTATTAATTATAAAATTTTTATGTTAATAATGTTGAAACATAATTTTTAGATAATTGATGTTAGCAGCTTGAATGCAAACAGTTATATTTCATTAAGATTTGGTAGTCACAGCACACGTCCATTATTAGTAAATAGTTCTGTCGCAGATATTGAAAATGTAATAAAATCTGATATCTTTTCAGAAAATTGTGCATTTTCTGTAACTTATGGTATGATCTCTTATTTAAAGAATTTTTGTTTTTTGAGTTGTTTTTTTTTAAATATACAAGTTATTTAAATCTTTAAACAAATGAAAATACTTTATGCTAATTTAAATAAAGTACTTTATGCTAATTTAAATAAAATACTTTATACTAATTTAAATAAAGTACTTTATGCTAATTTAATTAAAATACTTTATGCTAATTTAAATAAAATACTTTATGCTAATTTAAATAAGATACTTTATGGTAATTTAAATAAAGTACTTTATGCTAATTTAAATAAAATACTTTATGCTAATTTAAATAAAATACTTTATGCTAATTTAAATGAAATACTTTATGCTAATTTAAATAAAATACTTTATGCTAATTTAAATAAAATACTTTATGCTAATTTAAATAAAATAAAAAACAAATAAAATACTCATGTTAATAAAAAAGTTTAAGCCAACAAAAAATTTCATTTACAAAAAATTATTTGTAAATAAAAATATTCTTGTAAACAAAAATATTTATTATTATTAAAATGTTTAAATAATTAAAAATTTTGACACTTTTTAAAAAACTAAATGAACAAAATTTATATATTTTTTTTTTCATTTTTTTTTTTACTTATTTTCATGAATTACTTTTTTTTTATTCTTTTTTATTTGTAATATATTGGATGTGTGCAAATATAATTTGACATTTTTTTCCTACTTAATATGCTAAAATATTTAAATTTTATGCTTAAATACAAGTTAGTTTTAAAGTCTTTTACCTTTAGTTTTTTTTTATACTAGTTTTAAATCATCCATTCCTTGCATATGTTGGTTGGCAATCAGTCATAGACATTAATAATTGATTGAGTTATTTTCTATTGATAAAATATTAAAAATTTAAAAGTGTCATTTGCACTCACCCAATATATTATTATATTTGATCAAGAATAAAATAGATAATAATAAAAATAAAGAAAAAAAAAAAGATAATAAAGTATGTATATGATGTATGTGAAGAATGTATTTCTTAATTTTATGTGTGGTTTGTTTTATGTACAGTTTTTTATTATTTTTTTTCTTATGTCTTGTGGTATTTACACATTCTTTTATAATGCTTTCCTTTTTTTTCGTTTATCCATATCTGTCAATAGTTATTTTTTTTTATATTTGTGAACAGGTAATTTTAGACATTAAATCTTAAATTAAGAATGTAATTCTTGGACCTTATACTAATAAAAGTTTATGTTTAACACATTTAATGTTTTTTTTCAAGAATTTAAAAAAGTATTTCTAACATTTTTTTAATAAGTTAATTTAAAAGTTTATGGTTTTCCTGTGGTAAGTATATTTTTATACTAAATAAAATTGATCAATATGTTTCATAACTGCATTTTTAACAAAAAAATATTTGAGTTAAAGTTTAATTATCAAATTTTGGCAAACCTTTTTAAAAGTTGTGTTAAAAATTGTTAAATTTTTTAATATGGTTTTTAAATTAATTTTTATATTGTGGTTTTTATAAATCAAAACATTTTAGGTGCAAAAGTGTTTTACACTGAAGATTATGAATTTGATTTGAGACCTGGAGGCAAAGAATATGGCATTCGAATTGAAAATCAGCGTCCTTTTTGTGGTCGGCGTATGCTTCAACTTTCTAGTGATTTAATAATATTTTATGCTGACCAAACTATTGCTAATGACGCAACTAAAATGTCATCAATTAATGTATTAATATATCAATATGTAAGTAAAATGAATATTTTTCAAATGTAGCAATGCTTCATTGACTAAATTTGCTGACTTTCATGACTTTTTTCACTGGTTTTAGTGACTGAGCTCACTGACTTAAGTGAACGCTAAAGGTGGTCACAAGTCTCACTTGTGTTTGACCACTACTACTTGAGTTTGATCACTACTACTTATTAATACATGATACTTTACTTAATTTTACTTAAATTTCAATTTTTTATAATCATCAGTTTTTTTTGTTTTACTTGTATGTTAACAATATTTTACTTATATTAACTAATAAAGATTTGAAAACTCCAAAAGAACTTTTGCAAACACTTGTATGTATGCCGGTCTTTGCAAGTTCTTTTGGAACAAATATGCCTGTTTGCACTAATGCAGATTCAATTTTTTTCCAGTGTTTGCAACTGCTTAGTCCAAATGAAGGTTCTCACTTATGTTAATTTGCACGTTTGCAAGTTTGCGCGTATGTAGATTTGCAGTTATGAAATTTTAGACCTTTATTCCTAGAATTGGACTACCATTTTTAGAATTACGCTATCAATCTTAGGAATAAATAAGTTTAAGGAATAAATTAAGTATTGTAATATCAATTATGTAATTTTTTAAAAACCACAATGTCATTACAAAAAAATAGATTTTCAAAATGACAATTTACGTTAATGAAACATGTAGATCAGTTTATATTTTAACAAATTTTGAAGACCTATTTTGAAGAGTTTAAAGGAAGAAATTTCTTATTTTGTGTAGATTTGCAGTTATGAAATTTTAGACCTTTATTCCTGGAATCGGGCTGCCATTTTTAAAATTACTCCATCAATCTTAGGAATAAATAAGTTTAAGGAATAAATAAAGTATTGTAATATCAAATATGTAATTTTTTAAAGTCCAGAATGTAATTATAAAAAAAAAAACTTTCAAAATGACAACTTACATTGATGAAACATATAGATCAGTTTATATTTTAACAAATAGAAGCTAAAAAGTTTAAAGGAAGAAAAGTTCTTGTTTTTATCTGATTAACTTTATCTTGTTTTCCAGCTGGAAAATAACATACTAAAATCAAATTGTTGGCAAGTTCTTCAAATATTTAATTTACGAAATTATTTGAAAACTGCCTAATTTAAATTATAATTTCATTTCCAATCCTTCTCTTCTAATGACATATTAACCACAGAAAACTTTTATCATGAATTAGATGAAAATGGTGAGGCAAAGGCTATTGCTTTTGACTTATCAAAGGCTATAAAATTTATCTATAAAAATGCTCACTTATAATTTTTATTTGATCATAAATTTATCTATAAATTTTATATTCATCATAAACTTTTTTTATATGGTATACACATATATGAAAAGTTTGTCTGAATCTCTCAAAAACTTTATGCAACTGTTTCAATTAAATTTTTTGGACAAATGATTAGCCATTCTAATTAACTAATGCAACTTCATCAGAGAAAAGGCTTGAGGCATAAGCATTGAGTTATTTGGCTGTAAATTGACCATGAAATTAAAGCATTACTATGTCTCTGACAAAAATTAAGTGAACTCTGGTTCCTTATCAGACGAAGGATTTGTTATTTTATATTTGAAGTCAAATAGCTGAGAAAATTTTGTTTTGTTTGTGCAAACCCTTTCCACAAATTAGGATCTACAATTGAATCCTTTATACCTTTATACTTTTTGGCATAAATTTTTTACTCTTTTGACTAGAATAGAGACTAGTTTGATCAAGAGAGGCACTAGTTTGATTAGGAGAGGCATCTTTAGAGGCCAAAACAATTGCATCATCTTTTTTAGCTCTAACTGAAGCTACTTCTGGAATTTTCTTTAAATTTTTATATCTATATCTATATCTAGTTCCAATAGTACAGTAATGAGAAAGTCCAGTATTAGGAGTTAATAAGCACTTCTTGCATCACAGCATAGAAAATTTAGATAATTTCTGTGGCACAGATGTTTTTACTTAGATTTGTTTTTTTCCTTTTATTTTCTTATAATCAAATATTGGCAGATTGAAAAAAAAACATGTTGAAGGCTTGCTCTTGATTATATACATCTTACAAAATTCATAATGGTTATGGAAAATAATTTGTAGCTCAGAACCTTTGTTTGTGTTACCTAATGTATTGTATTATATTATGTTGAACATTGTGCATGTATTATGTTGTGTTGTACATTTTATTTTATAAGTACATTTGTATTACCTAATGTAACAGTACCTAATGTTACCTAATGTATTATTTGGTGTGTATTACTTTATGAATCATCTATTATTTGGTTTGTATTAATTAATGAATCTGTTTGTAATACTTAATGAAATTATTATTCTTAATATCAGAAAAGGTATTTAAAGAACTAATAGTTTTCTAGCTGGCTTTTATATCTGATGAACATCTAGAATGAACGTTTCAGCCGATGACTCTTATATCTAATGAACATCTAGGATGAACATTCCAGCCGATGACTTTTATATTTGATGAACATCTAGGATGAACATTCCAGTCGATGACTTTTATATTTGATGAACATCTGGGATGAACATTTCAGTTGATGGCATTTCTATTTGATTAACATCTAGGATGAACATTCCAGCTGATGACTTTTACATCTAATGAATATCTAGGATGAACATTCTAGCTGATAACTTTTATATTTGATGAACATCTGGGATGAACATTCCAGCTGATGACTTTTATATTTGATGAACATCTAGGATGAACATTTCAGTCGATGACCTTTATATTTGATGAACATCTAGGATGAACATTCCAGCTGATGACTTTTATATTTGATGAACATCTAGGATGAACATTCCAGCTGATGACTTTTATATCTGATGAAATCTAGGATGAACAACTTTTTGGCTTTTTGTTGAACTTAACTAGTATTTCTTATTTATTTTTTTTCAAAAATAGTTGTTAGGTTGAAATTGAGTTTCTAATAAAATGCATTTATATTAGGATATTAGTGAGGAGCTTCAAGCTCAAAGGGTTTTGTCTTGAACTCCCATTGGAATTCATAATTGTCTGTCAAAATGGTTTTTATAGGGTAGATCATCAATACAAAAATATTAGGATTCTAAGTTAACGAGCTGTTAAACTTAAAGCGCACAATTACAATACAAAAATATACTATACTATAATATAAAGAAAATATTATATTACATAATAATTTTAATAGAAATATAAACCATCTAAAACAAAAAAAAAATCAAAGCATATTTTTAAATTTTGAAAAACATTTAAATTTTTTATTTTAGTCAAAAAAACACTTTTTTTATAGCTCTGTTTTTTGATTCGTGGTTCGTATGCAACAACTCTCAATTTACAGTTTTCTTATCAAGTAACTGATAGTTCAACAGCTGTTATGAAAAAAAACTACCCATTTTCTGAAACAACTAGTGGAGAAGTTTGCATGGATATGAAATCACTTATTACATCTGAAAGTTGGTATAAAAGATCCACACCTGTAAATGTTATATCTATACAACTTGTTCGAGACCCTTTAAAAGATGCTTTAACTCCAATTTATGTAGATGAAATTTGGATAGCAGACACAAAGAGAACAGGTAAGTGAACTACTAATCATGTTTGCTCAAAAATGTTCTCTGATGATTTTAATTAAAATAAATAAACTTGAACTTTTTTGAAATTAAAAAAATAAAAACAAGATTTTTATTATTAAAATGACTAAAATGAAATTAGTCATTATTTGAATCAATACTACTTTAGTTGAAAAAATTGTTAGTGCACCTGAGGTATGGATTGATACGTTAATGGTTAATAGCAGTTTTTCAGAAGCTAATGTTAAGAAATGGAATGTTTCTATGTTCACAAATGCTTGTCGGAATAATTCTTATATTTTTCAAGCAACTAGTAATGGAAAATCAATTCCGACATTTAAATATCAAAGTTCTACTCCTCCGCTTTTTGGAACATTTAAAATTTCACACAAATTAGATGATGGAACAGCTATTTTAACTAATGGTATAATGATTAATAATACTTTCATTGTTTTTTTTTAATAAATTTCATGTATTATTTTATAAACTTAATTTTGCATTTTTTTAGACATCCCTCTTAACGTGGATGCGATTACTTTAAAAAAAATACTTGAAGACTTAATACCTAACACAGTGTTTTTAATTAGAAGTAATAACAATTGTTCTTTTTATCAATGGAGAGTAGAATGGTTTTCTGGAGGAGGAGACAGAGAGCTATTACAGTTAATTGCTGACAATATTCAAGGTCAAGATGTTTTAAACAATACCATAGTTATTCAAAATGGTGGAATTCTATTTGGACCATTACCAGGAGAATTTCTTCAGCTTGTAGAACCAAATCCTCAGGTAAGTTATTATCATTTTATGCTTATGTTTTTTTTATGTAATGTTCTGACAAAATGGAACATTTAATTTTTCCTAAAAGTCTTAATTAGTCTAGAGCATGACTGCAAAGAATCTATAAAGTTTAATTGTTTGGAGTTGTCAAGATTTGTGATAAACAATAAATTACTTGAATCTGTGTTTTATTTGTTTTTGATTTATTTTTTGTTATTGTTTCTTTGTATATTCTTTTGCTTTTAATAATTTAGTATTTTAATACTTTTAATTAATTTAGGTGGTTGTTTCAGTTAATGGAATAGTGTCAAAATGCAAGACTCGTGGAATGTGTGGATTCACGTATTCAACCTTGTTAACACCAAAATGTTCAACAATTACACCTTCATCTGGTAAAAGTGGAATCAGTGTTACTATAAGTTGTGAAGGTTGTCAAAATAGTGCAAAAGTTGATATTGGTGGAGTAGAATGTATTGTAACGAGTCAAACTGCAAAAAGTATTATCTGTACTGTTGGTAAGTTGATTATTTGTTAAATTTTTTTAAAAGCAAACTTATTCATAATTTAAAAATCTAGTAATGACATAGTTGTTGCTAAATTAAAAAAAAATAATAATAAACGCATTTTTTCTCTTTAGTTTTTTTTGTCTTTAATTTTTTTAATATTATTTTACCCAATAAGAGTAATTTGAAATGACATTAAATATATATATTTTTTATAATTTTTTTTCAATCATTAAGGTGAACTTCAAGCAGGAATGCAAAAAGTTATGGTTTTTGTAAATGGTGTTGGAAAATGTCAGAATCCTAATAATTTTAACTTAATGTTTGAGTAAGTTTAACATTTTTTTAAACTTTTTTATGAATGTTTTTATAAAAGTATAAATTTGAAAAACCAATAACTGCTAAATTTTCTACTAGATATCAATTTTCTGTTGAGAAAGTTTCACCAACCCAAGGTGCAACTACAGGTGGTTTACCAATCACCATAACTGGTTCTGGTTTTGGAAATAGTCTTGGTAATGTAACTGTAACCATAGGAGGCTATAAATGCTTAGTTACAAGTGTGTCAATGCATACAATAGTTTGCATAACTGAGAGTGGTACTGATGGCTCTTTTGATCTGAATGTAAGTATTTGTGTGTGTGTATATATACATATATATATATATATATATATATATATATATATATATATATATATATATATATATATATATATATATATATATATATATATATATATATATTTATATATATATATATATATATATATATATATACATATATATATATATATATATATATATATATATATATATATATATATATATATATATATATATATATATATATATATATATATATATATATATATATATATATATATATATATACTTATTTGTTGAGTTGAGCATATGCTCACTGAGTAGTAAACCACTTTTGCAGCAAGTTTAAAAAACTGCAGTTTAACATTTTTTTAACATCAAACAGCAAATTGTTTCAAAATAAGATGATGTGTTGGCAAAGCAAAATATTTCTTTTAATTTAGTGTCTACTGTTCCCAGAAATGTATTGTTGATTATGGATTTAATCATTTAATCAAACTCATTTATTCATGGACCCTTATATTCAGGCGTTAGGGAATAAGGAGTTAAAACCATAATAAAAATTATTAATCATTTCTATCTCAATTATAAGTCATTTCTTTCTCTTCTCATTGATAAGTTTGTTAAAACCAGTCTTTTTAATCTTTCCTCATAAAGAAGCTTTGAGTATTCCAGAATATTGTTACTCCAAGTAACAATATTTCCATAATTTTGGGGTAACTCTTTTAATAAGCTTTTAAATAAGCTTTTTTTTTAAATATGGATTCCAAATAGCCTAAAATTTTAAACTTAAGATAAAGGTGTACTAAAAATGAAAATGTGTCAAATGTAACCTAAACTTTGCTTTAGAAACGCACGAAGATATATAATCAATTTAATTTTTCAATATTTTTGAATATTTTTTAATAAGACACCAAGGTTTTTTTCACATTATATAATACTCAACCAAGGCCGGCGTGATAGGGGTGTGTGGGGGGGTGTCACACCCCCCATCAATGATTTTTAGTCGGCAAACTGGACCCTTAATCGGCAAATTGAACCGTTTTAGACTAGTTAGTCGGCATATCGACCCTTTCGATATAGGTTAGACAGTCGGTAAATGTCGTCATGACAGTCAGCAAATTTTGGAAAATGAGGAGACCTTTGTTTGTTTGTTTTTGTTTTTTTTTAGTCGGCAAAAGTTGTAATGGCACACCCCCCCCCCCCCCCACGTGACACCTACTCACGCCGGCCCTGTACTCAACTAATAATAAGAAATGTAATACTTTTAAATATTTTTGTATAATTTTTTTTTTTAGTGACATGCATAATTTTACATTTTTCTATATTTAATTTCATACTATTGTCATTGCACTATTTAAAGTTTATTTTTTTGCAATTATCAGCATAGAACTTGTATTTATTTTTTAGTTAACCTAAAAGATCATTGATATAAATTAAAAACCAAATTGGTCCCAGAACTGAGCTTTGTGGTACACTACCTAAAATGCTAAGTAATTTAAGAAGCTATGTCTCCAAGAATAACTCTTTGCCTTCAATTTAATAAAAAAGATTCAATCAATTTAAGAACTAAACCCTTTATAGCATATATTTCAATTTTGAATGTAGATTTTCTATGATGAACTCTGTCAAATGCTTTAAAAAATTGATAAAGAAGGCTTTAATAGAGTATTATTGATCCATTGCAACAGTTAAAATGTCTTGGCTTTCAAAAAAATTTGTTAGGCAAGATTAACTTGGTAAAAAAAATGCTAATTTTTATTTATAAATTATTACCTAGAAGATTCCAAATAAACTTTACATATAACAGAAAAAAAAGAAACAGAAGGATCAAGTATATCAAAATTTTTAAACATTGAAATTATGTTTTAAATCTTTCCTTGATTTTGGTACCTTTCTCGATTCAAATGGCCTAAAAATATATTTGATACCAATGCTTAAACTTTCAGGGCAGATAGTCAATACTTATGGATGGAATCGATTGTTTTCACAGGCTTTATGTTTATCTATGGTTTTTAATCATAAAATAATTTCTATTTGGCTGATTATTTTATTTATATCGTTTTCGCAGTAAACTTGAGTAGCAGGATAATATTTTGGTAAAACATAGTTATGGTCCTGATTAAATACAGATATATACCATATATATTTTTAAAATTTATAAAACACATATTGATATTTTTATATCAAAAATTTATTAATATTTCAATTCAACTAAATGGAAAGCAAAAATTTTGCAACTTTTGCTTTCCATTTAATTGAATTAAAATATTATATCATTTTGATATATTTGTGTATAATATAAATCTTTGAAATATTAGAAAGAATAAATTTGGTGACAAAAAGTAGTCATTCATTAAATTCAGAACTATTTTGATCTGAACATGAAAGCTTTATTTACATATAGCACATTACTATAAGTTATACAAGAAAGCAGCACATCCAGTTATTAACAAGAGTTAATAAAAGTTGATAAAAGTAATAATATTAATAGTAAGTATAAAAATAAAAATATTAGTAGTAAGTTATATATTATTAGAAAATTTAAATAAAATTGAAGTTATATAATATGAGAAAAGATAAAAAACTAGAAATAAAACTTTAGGTTACTTCAAAAAATATTTCATACTTTAGAAAGTAGGAACAAAAATATTTTAAGAATGCTTTAGAAATTAGAAACAAAAATACTTTAAGAATACTTTAAGAAGTAGAAACAAAATATTCAAGAAAAGAATTTTTTTACTTTTTTTTTTTCACTTTTTGAATTATACATTTATTAAAATTAGTTTAATTTTTACAAATTTATATACGCATGAATGCAGATAGCCACACTTTCAGTCAGGTGTTGCTAAAAAAATGTTAATTTTTTTAGCAACACCTGACTGAAAGTGTGGCTATCAACCAAATTTAGTTAAAGAGCAAGAAGTTAACAGAAATTAATAAAAAACTTAATTCTTGCTCTGAAAAAAAAAAAGACTTCTAAAGTTTTAAAAACATATAGAAACAATCACTGTGAAAACTTTTTTTTAAAATAAGTTGCATGAGGATAAACTTTGTTTGAAAAAACATGGATAATAACTTTTGTAAGTAGCAACTATTTTAGTGTTAGCAGAAAGATAAAGATTCCTGGATAACTTTACCTGGATGAGAAAGAAATTGACTGCTAAAGTCTAACTATGTTTTAAATACATTTTTGCTTTTAAATGTATTGTTTAAAAGAGAAAAGATATCATTAAAAGAATCAGCCCAGATATGAGATATTTTTTACAATGCATATATGAAATATTTTTTACAAGGATAAGTATGTTACTTATAGTAGTAAGGAATAAAAACAGCAATAAAAAAAATTGAAAATACAACAAAATCTTTACAGATGTAATTTGTAATTCAAGAAAGTAAAATTATGGTTTAGTCAAAACTATTGTTGTTTATAGATATAGGAATATAATGAATACATATTTGTGATGATGATGATGATGATGATGATGATGGTGGTGGTGGTGGTGGTGGTGGTGGTGGTGGTGATGGTGATGGTGATGGTGGTGGTGGTGGTGATGGTGATGGTGGTGGTAGTGGTAGATTTGGAAACAGACTTTTTTAAAATGTAATTTTAAAAACCACTATTATAAATTACACTTTAAAATTTTTTTAAAACTTAAGTGGTTACATTTTTTCACCTTAATTTTTAAAAATTAGGATAAAAAAATATAGTTTTAAGAGAGTTTTGCAACTTTTAAAACATTAAAAAAAAACTATAAGGCTATGATCTATTGTATCTTATGATTCTTTATATGTCATCTGAAATTACATTATACTAAAAGCTTTAAATAAAGTGGCAAAATTTTGGCATAAAACTTGCACAATCCAAGTTTTTACATTTTTTAGATACTCAATTCAAGCTGTTAAACTTAGTAGCTATACTTTTATTTTATATAATTTTATATTTAGATTGTTATTAATGAAAAACAGATTAAAGGAGGAACCTTTACTTACAATCAGTTATTAAATCCAGTAATCAAAAGTGTTTCACCTTCAAGTATTCATATTTATGACAAAGTCATTGAAGTGAGCGGATCAGGCTTTAAATCTACTAATGGAGAAAGTACTTTGGTCACCATCAACAATCAAAGTTGTCAAATAACATCATTAGAATCAACACTCATAAAATGTAATCTTCCTTCGTTGAACTCACTTAATGCTTTACTGGTAGTCTTTGTCCCTGGTGCCGGGTCAGTTTCGTTTTCACTTTCAGTTGACTTGAAATTTGCTAGTTTTTCGCCTAATACAGGCTCACTTTTTGGAGGAACAAAGATTACATTGAATGGAAGAGGTTTTGGTGAAAATGTTTCTGATGTTAATGTTTCATTTAGTGAAAAAAAATGTAATGTACTTAGTTGCACTGACAACAAAATTGTTTGTTTAACATCAAGTTGGGGAAACAAATTTTATGTTGACAATTCTGGTAGAGGAGGTATGTATTTCTTTTAATAAACTTATTTATTTTGCTGTTGTTGTTATTTTTTAAATTATTTACTTTAAAGTCTTCTTAGTCTCTTTCTCATTAAATTTTTCTTTTGAATTTGATTTTCTTGTATTATCTATTTTTGCTACTTATTTGCCTTTCTAATTGCTATTAATCTATTTTTGCTTTGCAATCAATATATATATATATATATATATATATATATATATATATATATATATATATATATATATATATATATATATATATATATATATATATATATATATCATATATATATATATATATATATATATATATATATATATATATATATATATATATATATATATATATACATATATATATATATATATATATATATATATATATATACATATATATATATATATATATATATATATATATATATATATATATATATATATATATATATATATATATATATATATATATATATATTTTAATTTTGTTTAAATTTTCTTTCGCTTGGTTAAAAGTTTAAAGCTAATAATAATTTTTTTATTAAATCGTTGCCTTAGAGGGCAGAGGTTCTATCTCTATTTTGGGTAGTTTTGCAGGAGAACAAAAACAAAGTATGAGCATTAAGCATAAATCAGCAATTTCATTTTTTGTTAGTGTTAATTTTTTTTGATCAATTAGAACTATCAAACATGATAGGAATAATTCAACTTTTTTGAAATTATTAACATTGAAGAGAGTATGGCACAAATTATAAAAGTTATCATGGAGATAGAACCTTTGCCTAAATTAATTGCGAGTTGAATGGAATGTTTGAAATTTATAAACATAATGAATCCAATTAAAATTCTTTTTTAATTAATGCAAAATGCTTTTTATGATTGTGTAAACTATCAGATAATGACAATCATGGTTCAAACTTTTTAAAATTAGTAACATTTTGGGACAAATTTTACAATTACCATGGAGATAGAACCTTTACTCAAATTAACTGTGAATTAAACAGAATTTAAAAATTTGTAAACAATGTTTTTGTAATCAATATTAAACTAAGTCTTAATGCTACTTGTCTTCATAGTCCGAGTTAAGAACAAAAATTGTTTTAATAGCAAAATTATATAACAGAATAATAATAGTAATACTGAAAAAAATAACTGACAGAAAACTAAGTCTTAGTTCTAGTTGTCTTCATAGTCCGATTCATTAATTTCTGACTCATCAGCAGTTGGTTCTGGTAAACTGTCTCTCATGGCTGCTGCAGACAGTAGTTGTTATACCATTGGGCATAATCTGGTGGAATAACACGCGATTTCATCATGCGCATGAGATCTTTTTTTTTTGCATCCGAAATAGGCAGGCGAGTAGGATACAATGGCTGAGGCTCTAATCCTTCGATGTTGGATTGCCGTTCTCGTCCAGACTGTACATTTATTTCCATAAAGGTAGGCGACGTAATGCTATATTTGTACTGCATAATGAACGGTCTTGACTTTTCAAACCTTGCCCACTTAATATTCAATCAGTTGACGGTTTCACCTTTAATATTTTTTGTACGATTTTTCACAATTTTACCGCAAAGTTGTTTTGAGTCAAAAAAATCGGTGTGTTACAGTGGTTTAACAAGATATGGACATAGATTCTTGCGCGCTGCAGCAATCAGAACTTCGTATTCTCGTGTAGTGTAAATTTTTTGATGGCTCTTACTGCGTTCAATAGTACTGTGCATAGAGTCAACTTCTAAATAAGAATGACCCGACTCCATATACTTCATGTTGATGCATTCCAGGTGAGTTGTTTGAACAATGTACATCATTGTCGCAGCAATAAATTGGTTTCTATTTTGTCCAGAGCATTTTAGTATCATCAGATACTTTTAGTATCACTAAAAGAAGTCACCCTCTTCACAGAAACTGGAAGAGACTTCATATAATCTAACAAAGCTGTATTTATTTCATTGGCTTCTCGTTTACCTTCACTTTCGTCCCATAGGTAACAAATTCCTTTTTTGGTCGACGTTTCATAAATAGTAAAATTATAAATGGCAAGTTTCCGCATATAAAAAATTTGTGCATCACCTGCAAATGGAAGTGGTAACACTGCTTCGAGATCAAAAGTTATAGAACGAATGGACTTGTCAGCAGCAGATGCAGTCTTATCAGAATTTTTTTCGTCCATAGCTTCCTTTTCACAAAATTTATGACTCTCATAATTTGGTCGTAGCGTTTCTTTATCATTACCACTGGCATCTCGAAAAGCATTGCAAATCGAGCATTTTTTTGGAAATAAAAAATTTTGTATTAAAATCAGTAACAAATATTTTTCGATATACACCGATAGAAACTGGATCTGTGATATTTTTTGTTGTGCAATAATCATCTTTGTATAGTCTATAAAGTTCTTCAATACTTAGTTCAGGACTAAGGTATTTTGCCTTTGATGAAGCCAGACAGTAGTGAGATTCGACCTGAGGAAAGCTTAGGATGTGCTCTCGAACTGCATTGGTTCGCATTTCTGAAGTCTTATTGGCTGGAGTTTTTCCTTTTTTTGAATTTGGTGGTATGAAAAGACCAATCTCATTTTTATTTTTTACAACTAACTGAACAGTTTTCTTGCTTATGTCCAAAAATGTGCAAAAAAATTTTTGGCACACTTTAATGACAATGTTTTCATTCGCTTCCACTGGCAGATGATATGCACAGGATATTATTTTTGGTCTTATTCCTGAATTGTCACAACGACGTGAAACATTGCTACTTTTCACTAAATGGCATATGAAATCTTTTTTTCTATTTTCACCCTTTAGTTGGTAGTAGTGTATATTTATTTCTAGTCGTTTGGTTTCCTCAAAATGTTCTCCACACTTGAATTTGCACTTTAAACAGTTCATCGTTCTAGGTGTTTTGGGCGGTACTGCTTTACCTTTTCGTGTCTTGTATGCCATTCCTTTCTCTCTTTTGTCTTTTTCAACAAATCGTTTCCAAAGATTTGGTCTTTTGCCTTGTTTGCGTCCAATTTTTGGTTCAGTGAAAGTTCGCTTTTTTGAACCATTGTTTAATTCCATGGTGAATTCTTAGAATTACAAAAAAAACTAATTAAAATTACCTCTGTTTTAATAAAAGGTTGTTTATTCATTATATTTCGTTTGTTATCGCCTGCCATTTTCAAGAATTATGTCATAGGGCAAAGAAGATATCTTTGGTATAGTCAGATGACAAATGAGATAACACCTTTGCCCTTTTAGGATTCCGGACAAATGTAGATAGCTCAAAACTTGCACAAATTTATTGCTCTTCTCCTACTATGTGGAGATAGACCCGCTGCCTAATCTGATTCTAGCACTTATAATAGATGTCCCCAAAGTCATAGCTGAATTTGAGCACAAAATGGAGATAGAACCTCTGCCCTCTAAGGCAACGATATGTAAAAAACATAAAAAATCATTTAAAAAGTTTTTTTTTGCCAAAGAAAAATCAAATTCAAGAGAAAAATGTATTGAAAAATCATCAGCAGCGTTATGATCATCATAATCATCATCATCATAATCATCATGATCATCATCATGATCATCATCATCATGAACATCATCATCATGATCATCATTATCATGATCATCATCATGATCATCATCATCATGATCATCATCATTATGAACATCATCATCATGATCATCATTATCAGGATTATCATGATCATCATCATGATGATGATCATCATCATCATGATCATCATCATTATGAACATCATCATCATAATCATCATGATCATCATCATGACCATCATTCCCATGATCATGATCATCATGATCATGATCATCATCATCACCATGATCATCATCATTATCATGATCATCATGATCATCATCATTATCATGATCATCATGATGATCATCATAATCATCATCATCAATATCATCAGAGTGTTCTTGCAGAGAGCTAACTTGATAAAAGATCTCTCGCCTTCAGCCACAGATACTAGCAAAATTAGAAAGATATGAAGACAGATGTATATCTGGGGGAAATTTCCTTCAAATTTCTTCGCATAAATGATATTCAGAAGATCTAAGGGCTGATCATTTGTCAGTAGATGGCATTGAACAGACGAAAAATGGCGAAACTCATCAATAAACTCGTCTTCACTAAGATCAAGATACTGATAATTTTTGTTTGTCATTTGATGATGCCCCATAAATGTGATGCCCGGGGGAAACTGACCCAAATCCCCCTCCCTCTGTGCACCCATGAAAACAACATCATCATCATCTACATCATCATCATCATTATCTTTATCTTCTAAAAATATTTTGTTTACAATATTTTGAATAAATTTGTTATTTGCCCATCTGATTCAAGAAAATTACTTAACAATACTTAAGTTAAATGTATTATTTCCTGTCTGATTTAAGAAATTATTGTAATATTAAAAGTAATAGCTGTTAACTATGAATGGTAGCTGCAAAGCACGATGAATAGATCAAACTTTATGATGCAAGAGAAAAAGCATTTTTATTTTAGATTTGACAAAGTAACTAAATAAAACTGATTTTATTGAACTTTTAAATTCTAGAACAACAGTTAATGGTTGATATTTTTTTTTATGTTTAATAATTTGTTGAAACTTGATAATTGTTGAGTATTTAAAACTATTGTGTTAATACTCATATAATAGCTGTTGATTGTCTTAAATAAACTAATTGAACCAAAGCATAGTTAAACTTAATAGTAACAAATAAAAAATTTGATTTTGGATTTCAACCATACCTCAGTCAGACATTTCTCAATTTAAAAAAAATCAAAGTCAAAACCTTCGATTATTAAACAATATACCTACTTTAGTACTAATAATACCTACTTTAGTACTGTACTATATGCATAAAGCTAGAAAGTTGTTAACTCTTTTTATGGTTTACTTCATTTATTAAAGAATGGAGAGAGTAGTGGTGAAAGATTGATGATCTGATTATTGTGTCATGATAAATGGCATAAAACAAGGCTCAGTTTAGGACAAATACTTTTTATTGTATTTATTAATGATATTTTAGAAATAAAGAAACATTTTATTAAACTATTTGCAGCCAATACAAAGCTAATTGCAGTTATAAAAAATCTAATAAATATCATTTTATTTCAAAAGGACATTAAGGTAGTTTTAAAATTCACTAGTTAGCATTTACATTTAATAAAAATAAAGTTATGTTTATTATAAAGTTGTTACAAAAATAAAGTTATGCCAATTTTAAAGGCAAAATACAAGTTATAAAAATTAACAAATAAATATATGACATAATAACAAATATAACAAATAAATATGACATAATAACAAATATAACAAATAAATATATGACATAATAAATATAACAAATACTGCCAAGAATAAAAGACACTATTTTTATGTGTTATGATGATGCTATAATTACAATATAAAGAAAGAAAGTGAAAAGTTTGAATTAATCCAAAGGCAAACTATAAAATTAGCTTTTACTTTCATAAAAAATTTTTTGAATTACACTTGTCAATTTATTTAATTGAGGTACATTAAATGATTTTTTTTAGAAATTGAGTGACATCAACAAAATATATTAACATGCCCTAATTAATCCATCACAGTGGCATTATCCCCCAGGACTAGCAAGAATCATGAGGAAACCCCCAGGACTAGCAGGAGTCATGAGAAATAATCAACATTCTATCATTAGGCAAAGAAAATTCTTCTTCAATAATACAATCAATAAAATCAGTTATTTAAAAATCTCATTGAAGCAGATTACCTTGCTCATCTTTAATATAGTTTAAAATTTAGTAATAATTATTTATTATGAAATCATAATTTTTGGAGATGAAGTGAATTGAGGGAGTGTTAGACTATTAAAAAAAAGAGTATAAATGTATTATTAAAAATATTTTTTTCTTTTGAAGTTTGAGAATTTCTTTCTCTTATTTTTATTTAGATCTTGCTATTAAATGGAACAAACAAAATTCTGTTGAAAATATATTTTTATATAAGATATTTTTAAGTTATAAAAGTAATTTATATCTTATATACTTTTAAAATTTAACGATAGTTATCGAAAGTTTTAGTTGTTATATCAGTAAATTTGTTTAAAATGTTTATTATTTTAAACATAGTATCAGCGTGATGTATATTTCTGTATGTATATTAATATACAAAATATTAATAAATATTAATATATGTATATTAATATGTAAATATAGATGAATATTAATACATAAAATCTATATGATATTATTATTAAAATTGATGTATATTGATATATACGTATGGATGTATATTAATATATAAAATATAAATCCATATTTATAAATTAATTTGTTAAATCTTATATTATAACAATGTTAATATATAAATTATATTTTTAATTATCAAGTACGTTTTTCCTTTTTAATTCTTACCTTTTTATAAAATTTAGCTTATGGTCCTGGGTCAGCCTGGAGTAAAAATATAATATACATTACTGAAGGAGACTCAGTTGTGGTTTGTTTTAATTTCAATAACTTATGTTAATTATCATAATATTTAATTAAAATCTTTATACTAATTGATAACACAATACTTCACTGTTAGCACCCCAAATAGGGATAGGCTAAAATAAAAAAGATTTGAGTTTTAGCAGGTAATATCTGTATAAAAGTATGTTGTGAAAAATTTTTTTTTTTGAAATTATCAAAATTTATAATTTGAATAAAAGTTATACAGTTATGTAGTTAATAATAAATGAATAAGATTGCAAATGCATAGTCATTTTATCGCATTATACCGCAAAAATAATAAAAAAAAGAAATAATTTTCTTATGTAGTTAATAATAAATAACAATGTTAATTATATATTTAATAATATAATAGTGTTGTGACCCTAGCTTATGTTCAGTTTCTCCCTTTTCTCCCTTAGGTGGTTCTGACCATGCAATGATCTCTATAAATCTTTCTTCTTGTACTTCTTTTTTGGGCTCACCTTATCATCGCACCACCTACTACTACTCTAAAGCTGACTGGGATTCCTTTCGTGATTTTCTTCGTGATGGTCTTTGGGCTGATGTTTTTTCTCTCTCAGCTGACAAATGCGCCTCCTAGGTAATCTCCAGGATTCAGGTTGGAATGGAAGCTTTTATTCCTTTGCGTCAGTTTCAAGTCAAGCCTCATTCTACTCCATGGTTTTCTCCTAAATAAACTACTGTCAGACAATCAATACGGTTTTCGATCCTCTCGCTCTACGGCTGACTTGCTAACTGCTGTAACTGAAAGATTTTATCGTGCATTAGATGGAGGCGGTGAGGCTAGGGCTATTGCTCTCGACATATCTAAAGCTTTCAACAAAGTTTGGCATGCTGGTCTTCTCCATAAACTTGCTTCATATGGTGTTTCTGCAAAAGTTTTTGAGATTATCAAATCATTTCTTTCTAATCGGTTTATTAAAGTCATCCTTGAAGGCCAACACTCTTCTTTATTTCCAGTAACTTCTGGGGTTCCCCAAGGTTCCATCCTGGGCCCTGTTTTGTTTCTTATCTACATAAGCAATCTTCCTGACAACCTTTCATCTAAAGTAGCTCTTTTTGCTGATGATACTCCTGACTTGACAAAAATTCTTCTCTTTTCGATTGCCTAGAACAAGCAGCTGATCTTGATTTGGATCTCACTTCAGTAATAGATTGGGGTTCACAGTGGCTCGTGAATTTCAACTCAAACAAAACCCAGTTGTTTACTGCAAACAACTACCGTAATATGGTCAACATTCCTATATTAATAAATGGCAATCCTCTTACTGAGTCCTCCTCTTTACATCTTCTTGGATTATCGCTTACTACTGACCTTTCATGGAAACCATATAAACACTCAATTCATCCCTGTATGGAATACTGTTGTCATATTTGGGCTGGTTCTTCTAACGATGCACTTTCTCTTTTTGACAAGATCCAAAAACGCAATGTAAATGTTGTTGGACCTGGGCTATCTGCTAAGCTTGAACCTCTTTCCCATCGTCGTAAAGTTGCATCTCTTTCTCTTTTCTACAAATACTATCATGGTCACTGCTCCAAGGAGTTATCATCTCTAGTTCCATCAACTAAAGTTCATTCTCGTTTTACTCTTCATTCAGCTAAGTCTCATTTGTTTACTGTATCTGTCCCTGCATGCTCTAAAAACCTTTATTCATCTAGTTTTTTTCCCCGCACTTCAATCCTTTGGAACTCTCTCCCATCTTCATGTTTTTCTGACTCATACAACTATTCAAGTCTTCTGTAAACCATTTCCTTGCTCTATAACTCTGTTCTTTTTTTTCCTAGTAACTCCCAACTTAATAGTGGTTGCTTGCAGCCTTGTTGGGGGTGAATGCAAATTAAAAAAAAAAAAAAAAGTCAACTAAAATTAGTCAACTAATTTTTTAATTAACTAAAATTACCCGACTAACTTTTTAGTTAATTAAAGTCAGTCGACTAACTTTTTAGTTAACTAAAATTACCCGACTAACTTTTTAGCTAACTAAAATTGCCTGACTAACTTTTTAGTCTAACTAAAATTAGCTGACTAACTTTTTAGTTAACTGAAATTAACCGACAAAGGCTTAACAAGATACTTCACAAAAATATTTCAAAAAAAAAACCCAAAAAGTAAACATGGTAAAACACAAATATCTTTAGAATTGAATAAGCTACCAAGGCCAGAGCAAAGGGGTGAGGGGATGGGTTGGTTGATTTTGTGTGTGACATCCCATCAATGAACTTTTAGCTCATTTAGTAAGCCAATTTGACTCTTTTAGATAAGTAAGTCAGCAAATGTAGATTTTCAGAACAGTCACTTGGTAAATTTAAAAAAACAAGAATTTTTTTTCCTATTTCTAGTCAGTTTAAATTTTAACGGCGCTCTCTACGTGTTACCTACTTGTGCTGGCCATGTTAGCTACGGTATATTACAATAATTCGGTTTTATTATGTTCCACTTTTTGGATCCAAATTATAAAAGTTTTCAATTCCTTGAAAAGTACGAGAGAAAAATTCTTTTAAATGCGTTAGAGAATTTTTGTTGGAATTTCATTTGACAAAAAAAGTTTGCAATTTAATTCCAGTTAAAAATGTGACAATCAAATCAAAAAAATTTAAGTTATCATTTCACAATGAAGATGATAATTACGGAAACGATAGTGACAAAATAATAAGTTTAGATTTAAAAAAATAAATTAGGGGTTATATAAAATTGTCAGTAAATGAGCAAAATATTTTTGCACATCAAAATTAACATGTGTTTCCAATATTGTATTTTATTTTAACAATGATTTTATGTATGCCTGCTACCAGTGCACCAAGTGAATGCCTTTTCTCTGACGAATTAAAGACATTGTATGCAAAGCGAAACAAAATGACAACTGAATGTTATCAAATGTTGATGTTTTTGTACAAAAAATTGGAATTTTTTTAATTTAGTTAAAATTCATTAAATATAATACTGAAGTTTTTTCTTGTAATAAATATTTTTTAATAAATTTTATTGTTTTTAAATAAATATTATAAAATTTAGTATTTGAACTCTTTTAAGTGAAACTTAAAAGAGTTCAAATACTAAATTTTTTTTAAATGCAAAAATGTAAAAAATTAATATAAATTTTTAAATTTAAAATGTGTTTAAAAAAAAGGTAAAGAAAATATTGAAAATTAAAAAATTTAATGTGTGATTTTTTTGTTCTTGAGTGTGCGGTTTTATCATGATGTTATCTAAAACCGCAAACTTTATTTTTGCCTTTATTATTTTAATAGTTTGATTTTATTTTTTTTTTTGATATTTATTTATATATTCTTTAGTATTTTTTTAAACATCTATCTAATGAAAAAATATAAAAATAAATATAATAAAAAAGTTATTGAGTTTTAATTGATAATTGTTTTGACTCGGTTTTACAAGTATTTTAAAGTGCTTAAAAACTACGTATTGCATTTTTCAAGTAATTAAAATGTCATAAACAATTTCCTGGTTTTAAAAGCGACCGCAGTTAGTTAATAAAATGTTTTCGTTATTCAACAGTTAAGTATTATTTAATACATTTTATAAACTATTCAACAATTTATATTGCGGAAATTGCATTTTAAAATGCAAATATCAATCTCCCTTTTAAATTTTGCAAGTATCGCCAACCGACGAACAACTATACTCTGAAAGCAATAAATATATTCATAATAACTTATTTAACGATTACCTTTTGGGTTTATGTCAATACTTTCGCCTACCCAACTGTAGTGTAGAAAGGTTGATATTTAAAGGGGTGGGGAGGGGGAGTCATAGATTTGTTGTGAAAAATAGAGATTGAATCCATTCCTATAATATGGCAGGGGAAAGGGCTGTACTGAACAACGAAAACGTAGGGGGAAAGGGGGTGCAATTGAAAAAAGCTTTTTTACTATAAAAATTGCAGCAAAGTAGGGCTTTTTTTTTATTTAAAAGCCAAATTTCAGTTTTAACCAACCGAGTCTCAATTTTTCCAAATAGGACTATTATAACTTATATATTAACATTAAAAGTTAAATGTTTAATAAGCTTGCCTAATTTGATTTAATTGACTAAAGGGCATTATTTGTATATTCCATGCTGATTGGGTGTTTATAAACAGCTGCAATAACCTCATAGGCAGTTGTTCCCGAGCTGGGAAAAAATAAAAATAATCGAATTTTGCTTAAAATTTTTTTTTGAACAACAGTTTAGGTCAACTAGGTTCTATAATTTACAATTAGTAAAGTGTTTAATTACAATAAAATGATATTTATTGCCTTATTAAAGCTTCCTTGTGTGTAAAATTTTTATGTGAAAAATTATTTCTTTTTTCAAGCACTAAATCTTGCTTTAGTAGACTTAATTTAGTTACACTAAATATTTAGTCCACTAATTTGAGTTAACTAAAAAGTTAGTCGACTAATTTTAGTTAGACTAAAAAGTTAGTCAGGTAATTTTAGTTATTTAAAAGATTAGTCGGGTAATTTTAGTTAGCTATAAAGTTAGTAGGGTAATTTTATTTAGCTAGAAATTTAGTAATTTTAGAGTAATTTTAGAGTAATTTTAGTTAACTAAAAAGTTAGTTGAGTAATTTTAGTTAACTAAAAAGTTTGTCAGGTAATTTTAGTTAGACTAAAAATTTAGTTAAGTATTTTTAGTCAGACTAAAACTAACCTTAACTCCCACTCCTAATAAATAACAAGGTTAATTATATATTTAATAATATTAATAACAAGATTAATTATATATTTGATAATATAAATAACAACGTTAGTTATATATTTAATAATATAAATAACAACGTTAATTGTATATTTAATAATATAAATAATTATATATTTAATAATATAAATACCAACATTAATTATATGTTTAGTAATATAAGTAACAACGTTAAATATATATTTTCTAAATTTAGTTCTTTAAAAATGCAACAATTATTTTATGTAGTAATCAATTATTAAGTTGTTTAAAAATTCTTCCAAATTTTTGTTTGTGTTCAA